CCCACTGAATTGTGTAACCCTATGATTAACACCCTCCTCCCCCATCCTCACATCTTTATTTTCTCCCTTCCCCTACCTCTCCCTTGGATCCTCAACTCATTCTACAATAACAGTTTTATACAGTATTTGTCCCTGAGTCTCATAATGAAAGTTTATAGAATACAAAATGATTGCTCCTGCATGTTGTATTCTAACTTCTCAATCCATTTGTTTGTGAATGGACATCTGGACTGTTTCCATAATCTTGTGATGGTGAATAACACTGCTATGAACATTGTTGTACAAGTTTCCATTTGTGCCTCAGTTTTCATTTTCTTGGGGTATATTCCAAGTAATGGAATAAGCTTGGGTCATATGGAATGTCTATGTCCAGCTTTTTGAGGAAGCGTCAAACTGCCCTCCAGAGTAGTTGTCCAATCCCACCAACAACGTAAAAGAGTTCCTATCTAACTACATCCTCCCCAACATTTATTACTTGCTGTCCTGTTAAACTTTGCCACAGCTACTAGAGTGAAATGGTATCTCACTGTGGTTTTTATTTGCATCTCTCTAATTGCCAGTGATTTGGAGTATTTCTTCATATGTCTGTTGTTGTTGAGCCTTATTTTTTTTTCTCTGAACAATACCTTTATTTAATAATTTTGTTTATAACTGAAACTCTGGGAATTCAAAATTAACATCCTTGCCTGTGAGCTTCTTATACACACCAGAGAAAGTTTCAACCTTATGTTTTCTACGTTATTCTGCTGTGCTTTGTCCAAATGGACCTTCATAAGCAGGCTGCCATCCAGTTTTACATGGATTTTCTTGCTCACAGTTTCACTGGGAAAGACCAAGTCTTCAAGCTCCTGGGGCGCTTTAGTTTATTTTTTGTGCAGCTTTTCCGAGTTGGTTTAGGCAGAATTCTCCTCTAAGCAATAAAGACAACACGCTTTCCAATGAACTTTTTCTCCAGTTCACGTACTAAGCAGACTTGGATTTTCTGGAAAGATTTCCGTTGAGGAACAGGAACAATGATTATAATAGCTTTCCAACCACCACCAACTTCAATTTCCTTAGCTGCTGTTATATTCAGCTCCCTTAATTGAGCCTTTAAGTCTGAGTTCATCTCCAGTTCAAGAAGAGCCTGAGAAATGTCAGACTCTAATTCATCCAGCTTTTCGCCATTGGGCTTCACAATCTTTGCGCTTGAACTGAACATGGCCTTTTTTTGTGCTGAGCACCAGCCTAGGAAGAGGGAGCCTTATTTTTGCCAATGCCTTCAGTACACCTCAGACTTCTTCTTTCAGTACCACTGGTTCTTGATCATATGCTACTTCCTGAAATGGTTCCATGTCGACCAATCTTTTAATTCTTTTTTGGTAAAATAACTGTATATTCCTTCCATCTTCTTCTTCTTCTTTTTTTTTTTAAATTTGAGTGTGTTCGGGTTTTTTAATTTTTTTTTAATCCTGAGAATTTTTCTTTATTTTCTTTAAAAAATTATTTTACACTCTTTTATTTATCAAGTTCAACCAGATCCTTCCCATGTCCTTCACCATCCCCACTTATCAAATTATGTGACTCTATGATTAACCTCCTTCCGCCCACTGCCTTTCTCACCCCTCTGCTTCCAGGCTCCCTCCCCTAGGATTCTCATACTCATCCTCAATTATGGTTTTATACAGTATTTGTCCTTATGGGACTGAATTAGTTCACTCAGTATAATGCTCTCCAGTCCTTCCCAAGTTAGGTAATAATTTATAAAATCATTGCTTCTGCATGCTGCGTAGTATTCCATTATGTGAATGTACCATAATTTCTCAATCCGTTTGACTGTGGTTGGACATCTGTGCTGTTTCCATGTTCTTCTGATGGTAACACTGCTATGAACATTGGTGTACAAGACTCTGTGCCTCTGTTTTCATTTTCATGGGGTATATTCTAAGCAATAGAATAGCTGGGTCATATGGAATTTCCACATTCAGCTTTTTAAAATTTTATTAAATTTAATAAACATTTACAGATATTTTTAATTTCTATCCATTCATTGTTGTACTTTTTCCTTCCTTCCTTTAATGCATCCTGCATCATTCAATATTTTGTTCATAAAATTCTTCATTATTACAACTTGAGACTTTAATTTGCTCTTTAGATCTTTTAGTTTAAGAAACGCTGAGCATGTTCCTCCCTTATGGCTTTCAAATTCCCACTTTTTGCAAATTTTGTTATACTCTGCTTTGTTTCTTGAGCTTCCTTTGAAATCTCCTGTTTAGTTCTCTTTCTTCACTATTATTGTCCCTTGCTTTATAATTGTTGTCAGGTGTCATCGAGTAGACTAGGACTCAGAGACTTTATAAAAAAATAGATTTTGCCCTATCATGTGCTACCCTCCCAATCTCTGATACGCTTGAGTCCACTGTCGAACTTTGTCAGTTCATCTTGTTGGGGTCTCCCTCTCTTTCTTTGACCCTCTACTTTTTCCAGCATGATGTCTTTTTCTAAAGGCTGGAGTTTCCTGACAACATGCCCAAAGAATGTGAGATGAAGTTTCACCTCCCTTGTCTCTAAGGGAGTACCCTGTTTACACTTCCTCTAAGACAGACTTGTTTGTTCTTTTGGCAGGCCATGTGATATTCAGTATATTTCTCTAATATCACAACTCAAAAGTTTCTAGTATTTTTCTGTCATACTTATTTTCTGTCCAACCTGCAGATCCATAAGAAGCCACTGAAATATGACTTGATCAGGAACATCTTATTCTTTAAAATGACATCATTTATTCTTTAGCACTTCAAATAAGTCTTTGGAAGCTGATTTCCCAATGCAACACATCTTTCTTAACTAGGTTGGTTGTAATTTGAAAAAAAGAAATGTATCTAGTAGTATAAAGAACATAGAGAAATTAGAACCCACATATACTGCTGGTAAAATGTAGGAAGCCATCCTGAGTAGATCTTAACTCTGCCACTGATAACACTTTTTGGCATGCAGCTGCCACCCCTGTCCATCTCTGGGACTATGCCTACCTCTTAAATCAACACCTTGGGGCATGCCCCTCCCTCTCCTTTGTAAACTGATAACCTAGGGCTGGGTTTCCTGGCAGTCCAGCCTACTCGTTGCCTATTTATAGCAGAATTCATCAAATAAATTTGGGCTTGATCAGGAATCTTTGTCTTGCCCCAATCTCTCATGTCCCTGCTCCTCTTTTAGTCCGCAAAGGTTCCACTCTAGAACACGTATGAACCCACAGGTCGGTTTCAGCCAGCAGTTACAGTAAAAAACATAAACAAATATAATCACTCTGGAAAACTGTTTGGTAGCTCCTTTATATATTATACACTTATCATATGACCTAGCAATCCCATTCTTAGTTCTATAACCTTTAGCAATATATATCACAAAAACCTTGTACATATCACAAGATATAGGTATATAATCCAATAGAAAATTGGGCACAGGATATGAACAGACAGTTCACCAAAGAAGACATTCAGATGGCAAACAAACCCATGAAGAAATGTTCAAAATCCCTAGCTCTAAGAGAGATGCAAATCAAAACTATGAGATATCACTTCACCCTAGTCAGAATAGCAAAATTTAACAGAACAGCAAGCAACAAATGCTGGCGAGGTTGTGGAGAAACTGGAACCCTTATTCACTGGTGGTTGAGTGTAAAATGGTGCAACCACTGTGGAAGGCGATATGGCGCTTTCTCAAAAAGCTTCAAATAGAGATACCATTTGACCCAGCAATTCCACTACTGGGAATATACCCCAAAGAAATCATAACTGGCATCCAAGCAGATATATGCACACCCATGTTTATCACAGCTTTGTTCACAATAGCAAGGAGTTGGAAACAACCCAGGTGCCTATCAACAAATGAATGGATAGAGAAGTTGTGGTATATTCACACAATGGAATACTATGATGCATTGACAAACAAGGAACTCACGCAATATTATTCAGAATGGGTGACCTTGGAGAACATTATGCTGAGGAAAGTATCTTAGTCACAAAAGGACAAATACTACATGGTGCCACTGTTGTAAAACAGGACTGACACTGGGGCTGGGGGGAGACTGAGAAAGATGGGTTCAAAAATGTATACTGCATTGAAACAGACGAGGGAGAAACTGTTTAAAAGGGATATGTGATTAGGTATTTTTGTCACGACAGGAGTCCAGAGCGAAGGCTGCATAGTGCAGTGGAATGAGGACAGAGAAAGACTACTAATAGATGTGGAATTTCTTTTTGTGGTGATGAAAATGTTCTAGAATTAAATATGGGTGATGGTTGTACAATCTTATATTAAAACTAGGATAATACTATATATGGATATCTCAAAAAAAAGAAGGAAAAATAAATTATTAAAAGAAAAAGTATAGAAATAGTGTTACTACAGTATGGATAACATAATTAATGTCATTAAATAAAATGTGCATGAATGTGTAATTAAGTTTATGAAACAAAATATGTATTGGGAAAATAAGTTTCTTTGTCAAGTTGCACAGAAATAATTTTTAAGAAATGAACAGTTGAATATAAAATCATCATCTCTATAAACTTCCATTTAAATCACAATAAGAAATAAAAATAAATAAAAGAAAATAAGATTCATCGGGTCACTGAAAGACATATGCAGCCAGAAAATGAGAAAAATTAAAATGTAAATGTCCTTAATGTTAGTGTTCTACACTACTACTTTTTCTATGCTTTTATAATTGATGATAAAGTTTTCACATTTTGATTAAAAAACAAATTTAAGGGATTACAGAAGAATCACAATATTTCCCCATTGATTATTAAAATTTTCATGATTGTTTTCCATTGATTACTAATACTGGTTTGCATGCATTCAGTATGTTCAATCACTTTTACAGTCACAACATAACATGCAAATCAAAGATGACCTAAACTGTACCACAAATTGCTTCTTAAACAACTCCTGAAGAAGATGTAAAGATAATTTAATGATAATATAATAATATACAATTTAAAGATAATATAATTATCTACCTGTAATTCCTCTGCCGTGGAAACATCCAGTCCTGTTAAATCTTGTATCCTCATGTTAATTCGAGACACTACAGGATTTTCATAGCCAGAGAGCCAGGCACTAAGACCAAGAAGAAAGTACTAGTTTTATTTATATGAAGCCCAAAAACTAAATTTTTTTTTACATTTTTCTGAAGTATTTTTATTTGTTCATTTAACAATATAACACACAAAAAATTACAATCTATATCCACATACAACTCTTTTCTTTCTCATTTACAATCGCGAGGTTACCGAGTCCAGAGGAACTGGTGTAATCTCTGTATGGAACTATCTTTCAGTAGTTTACTCCAATCCATTTCTTCGTTTATACTCTAGAACATCTTCATTGTGTTGTTTGATTAGATAGCCCCACAAGAAGGCTGAAGCGCCCAAGGTCAGTCCAACTTTCACCCAATTAGGTTTGCTATTTCGTGGTTCATGAAGGTAAAACTTGGACCTCACTGAAAGGCTGCTCGGGAGCCGGGCCGGGGTCAACAGCCGTGAGAAAGAGCTCAACATCATGGAAAGCGCCATCTTGCTCAAAAACTAAATTTTTTTAAGTATTTATTTTAAATTTTAAAAATATATAGGGCAATAAGCTTTTAACTAAACACTTGTTCAAAGCTATTTTTATTAATGATATAATTTTTAAAAGATGTCATATTTTTCAGCTAGTAGTTGGAACGAAAAAAGTTGAACTATGCTCTCATTTACTATAAAATTTTGAGGGAAAGAGCTGGGTTTCCCTATTATAAGGAAGTTATTTAAAGCTATTACCAACCAGCAAGAGTTTTTTTAAAATCTGAATAAATATGTACCAAACTTGAGTTCAAATCTACCAGTTGCTCTATTGGAGAAAGAGGGGCAATCTCCTCCCATGCAATTTATTGCCTCTGAAAACCCACTGGAGGATCTGGGTCAGTTCCAACTGTAAAGAACACACCTCCACCACCACCAGGATTTCAAACCATCAGAAAAAATTGCTAATAACATATAGTGCAGAGAAACATTAACTGAGAACTTTAGCCTGATCTAAAAAATACTAACATTTTAAGAGAAAAAAATTAATATATTATATATTAAGATAAACAAAGATTTTTAAAACAAACAAACAAACAAAAAAAAGATTTTGAAAACAAGTATTCCAAAACACTCACTGGGATCATTATAATTTAAAAAAATGGAGAATAACAAACATCAATGAGAACATAAAGAAACCAGAATCTTAATTACTGTTAGTGGGAATGTAAAACAGTGTAATTGCTTTGGCAAACAGTATGGTATTTCCTAAAAAAGTTAAAGAGTTACAGCAGAGTCCAATAATTCTACATCTATGTATATACTACTGAAATTTTAGTAAATAAAATATTATATGCCTATACAGCCACAGAAATGAAGATAATGTTACAACATGGATGAACCTTGAAATACTTGGGTTAAGTAAATGAAGACAAATAAAAAAGACTACATATTGTATGATTCTGTTTATATGAAATGTCCAGAACAGGCAAATCTCAGAAAAAGAAAATAAGTTATTAGCTGGTGGTATAGTCAGAAGTGTGTTGCAGTGCCAACCCTCAAGGTCATGTATCTCCAGGGGTTCAAATCCACCAGCAGCTCCTCCCTTTAAGATTTACGGTCCAGAAAATCTGACAGCTGCTACCAGCTGAAAGCAACTCGGTGACAGTGAGTTTTAGTCTTTTAGGAGATAGGGCTGAGGGGATTGGGGACTAACTGCCAATAGTTATAAAGTTTCTTTCTAGGGTGATAAAGATATTCTGAAATTAGATGGTGGCTGCACAATTGAAAGACTAAAAAGCACTTTGAGAGGATGAATTTAAAGGATGTTGTAAGATTGATAGCCCAATAAAAAGCTCAATCAAAACCTCAACTATAAAAATAATGTAAAAATACAAAACTTCAACTATATCCCTTTGACATGTGCTTTATTCTAATAGTCCTTCTTTTTCATCACTTTTCCTTGCGTCACACTTTGATTTCAAGATCCATTATTTCAACATTTAGCAAAACGTTTATATTCAACTATCTTTCCTCTAAGCTTATATACCAATCTACTACATCTTGCTGGAAAGAAGTCAATGGGGTCAAAACTGTCATTAAAAGTTCAGGAACATCAACTTCAAAGAGGCCCTTACTCTTGTTCTCTTCTTCCTCCACTATCAAAAATCTCTGACTCTCAACTCCCAGACTCTCCTCCTGCCCATCCAAGAAAAACTGAAATCATGTCCCACGGACTGCCAAAAGAACCAACAGATATGTCAGTGAGAAGGGGCAGCCAGAGTGTTCCTTGGAGGTGAAGATGATGAAGCTTCATCTCACATACTAGCACATTGCTAGGAAAGGTTATTTCTTGGAGAGGGACATGATGTTTGGAAAAGTGGAAGGACGGTGAAATCAGGTGAGCGGATACAGTGACAGCGGCAATGGGCTTGACTGAGTTAGAGACTATGAGGTGGCACAGGAAAGAAAAGTGTTCAGATTAATTGTTCCTAAGGTCACTACAAAACATTCCTCAACTTGAGGGCACCTAACAACAATATCCTTGCATATAACCTTAGCTACTCTTTGTAGTTTCTTCACTCTGGTTCCAACATTACCTCAACTTCCACTATTTAAGGAACCCTTAATCACCGATTATTTCTTTCTCCTCTTATATAATCAACCTTTCACCCTTTAGTCTTCCCACTATTTTTACCTGGACTTAAATCTCCAGGATTCCCTCGATGATCCCTGGAAGAACTACTCTAGCATGTCAATGTAACTACTTTTTCTGCCTGGGAAGAATTCTATGGATTGATGCCTTATGACTAATAATGTCAAACATATTTTCATGTGCATATCGGCCAGGTATTTACAGAAGTATTATTTACAATAGCCAAAAAGTAGAAACAATACAAATGCCTATTCATTGAAGGATGATTGAATAAAATGCAATATATCCATAGAATGAAGTATTATTCAGCCATAAAAAAAGGTATGAATTACTGACATATGCTACAGGTATAAACTCTAAGTGAAAAAAAGCTAGATATAAAAGACAACTTATGTGATTCTATTACTATATAATGTCTCAAATATGCAAATTAGTGGTTGCTTAGGGCTAGGAGGGAATGTGGGATTAGCTAGTTATGGCTGAGGCATGCAGAGTTCCTTTTAGGATAAAAAAAAAGTTCTAAAATCATTTGTGATAGTAGATACACAATCTACGATTCATCACCCCAAAGGTGTCTGATCTCATCTGATAATGGATGCACAACTTTGAATGCACTTAAAATTACTGCATGGTATTAATAAATAAATGTGTGGTAGTAAATTTAACGTCAAAGCTGTTGAAACAAAAATGTTTGCCATCCACCAGATGCTCTGCCAGGGAAGGAGGGACAATCTCGTCCTGTACCAGTCAGATCTGATTTAATGATACACGCACACAAAAATAATAAAATTTTTTTAAAAAAAGTTTGCCTTCAAAATCTTAAACAAACCAGAAGTATGGGAGCCTTTTCCCTAGTTATATCCCTCACAGATTAAATATAGTTCATAAGTTTAAAAGTATCTATCCTTTCAACATTTTACCCCTTTGCAGAAAGAGACTATATCTAACCGGATCTCCTACCTCAATTTATAAATACACATTCCTACCTGATCATCACTGATGGAATCTTTTTAATTCAATACGTACAACTGCACTTCTACTTTTCAAACTACTGTTTTTCTTTTTTAATAAATATCCTCAACTCCAGCAATTGCTATGAAGCTCCATCAATACAGCACTATTAAAAAGGTTATTTCTATTATTGTAAAAATAGAAGAATGACTAGTAAGATATGGATAAAATCCAAAGGGGAAAAGGAAGGGTGCATGGAGGTAAGGGTGGGGACAGGGGTGGAGGAAATCATGGGGATGCAGAGTTTGTTGGGCAGAGGGAGGGGGTAAAGGAATTAGGATAGTACCATTGGAAACTTGAACAGGTGGCCTGATAGTGGGCATAGATCAATGGTGATTAATTTTATAAAACACAATCTATGGGAATGATATGAAACACAATGTAAATGAAGAAATGTTATGAAACAAAATGTACATAAAAAAACACAAGATGTATAAATTGTGTATGCAAACCAATATAACATTTTAAAAAGGTTATTCCTAATTTTTCCATATTACAATTGATAACAAAACTTTCTGTATCTGTAACTTTTACTTTACACACAACATCTCTATAGGATCAGTTCAAGATGTGGACTCAAGTGTATGCAGAACTTAAAATTTTTATAAATGATGTCTAACTACTCTCAGAAATTTGCAGTGATTTCTATTCCTACCTATTGTTTATTAAAATACGCATTTGATAAAATCTTTGTCAGAATCAATCTTCTTTACTTTGCCAATCTTCTTGTTGTTATGTGCCATCAAGTTGCTTGCGACTCATAGCGACCCTATGTACAAGACCCCTAAACACTGCTCTATCCTGTGCCAACCTCGCCATCTCCAACACACTCATTCCCACCACCCCAAACACAGAATCAATCCATCTCATCGAGGGTCTTCCTCTCCTGTGCCATGCCTCCACTCTCCCAAACATGATGTCCCTCTCTAAGGACCTTGCAACATGCCCAAAGTATGTCAGACAAAGTTTCAGAATCCTTGACTCCTAGGAGCATTCTGGCTTCACCCTCTCCAGGACAATTTTCTTGTTTTAATTTTTACTTACATAATCATAAATTTTTTACTTACATTTATCATAAAATCTCAAAAGAAAATGTAGGACTTAGCACTTAAAGACAACAATGACAGGAAACATAAAAAGACAAAACTTGTTAATTGTGATTGGTATTGACTGCCATTATTATAATGTGCCATTGAGTCAACTATGACTCATAGTGACCCTGTAAACAGAGGCTCTGAATCCTGCCCTGTTCTGAGTCAACCTCACCATCTCTGACACACCTGATCCTACTGCCACAGTCATTGTGTCAATCCATCTCATACAGGATTTTCTTCTCCTCCACTGACCCTCCACCCTTCCATGCATGATGTCCATCTCCAAGAACTGGTCCCTCC